CAGAAAGTGAGTTGAACCTGGTAAAATGCAGAGACCAGGGAGAAGAGGGATTGTTTTATGGCAACTCCCTGGAATCTGGCTGGGCTCTGTCGCTAGATGGTCACCCAGAGAACAGAGTGAGGTCAGCACAGAATGGCTGAGATGGCTCACCTCAGGAGCTGCATGGGAGCCCCAGGAGCAGGGGTAAACAATGATTCACCAAGCCAGGTGCATGTCAGGGAGGAAAAGGAGCAATATATTCAGGTTAGGTTTAACATGGGGAGAAGACGAGACCCTGAGAAGGAACAGCAAGAACATTAAAGAGATTCAAACACATAGCTTCAAGTTGGGAATTGTGATACCCCCTACCTTTTCTTTGTTGCCTAGAATTGCTTTTGCTATTCTAGGTCTCTTCTTGTTCCAAATGAATTTTTGGATTGTTTTTATAAGGTCTGTGAAGTAAACTGTTGGAATTTCAATTGAGATTACACCGAACCTATATAGCAGTTTTGGAAGTATGGCCATTTTCACTCTATTGGTTCTTCCTACTCAGGAGCAAAGGATGTTTTCTCTTTGATTTTGTTTTTCAGAGTGCTGTAGTTTTCAGAGTAGAGATCTTTGATTTCTTTTGTTAAGTTGATTCTTAGGTATTTCATTTTTTTTTTTTGATGCTATTGTGAAAGGAGTTGTTTCTCTAGTTTCTCTCTCAGTGAGTGTGTTGTTCGTGTATAGGAAAGCTATTGATTTTTGTGCATTGACCTTGTATCCAGCTACTCTCAAACCTCCCAAATTTAAAGACCCAATCCAAAAGGGCAGGAGAATGGGGGAAAAAAATAAGAACCAATATATATTATGTAAAGGTACAAATTCCCAATAATGAATGTCAACATACTGTATACCTAAAATGTACCGATAAAATTAATGAAAAAGGGAAAAAAAAGATTCCAAGACAGAAGCAACTATGGAATTGGGGGAACTAAAACAGGGTTTTTCAAATAAAAGAAAATTATGGTTTGTTGATTAATTAAAAACATATAATATTAAAGTGATAGTCTAGTAAATGAGAAAAAAACTATAAAAGATGCAGATATTGAACTTGGAAGGCCAAATATTAGAATGATAGAAGTTCCAGAACTCAATTAAATGAAACAGAAGGAAGAGAGCCAATAGTAGAAAAAGTCTTTGAGCTACAGAAGAACCTGAGGTTGTGGACAGAATCAAGTTGTTCTCGAAGGGATTAATGAGAAAACAGCCACCTCAAGGTGTTACCCAGCAGACTGAAGAAACCTTCTCACCAGCTCTCAGGCAACAAGAACTGGCCACCTACCTATAGCAGAAAAGAAAAGACCATCACTGAGTTCTCACCAGCAGCACAACATGGGTGCTTATAAGACAGTAGAATAATACCTACAATTCTCTGAGAAAAAATAAAAAATCTCCAACCAAGAATTCTATGTGTACCCGAGATATCAGGGAAAGGTGAACATACAAAAAAGAGGAGAATATGTGATTTACATACCCTTCCTAAAAAAAAATTCTTTCCAGATAACAACAAATTATGATGAAATTATTAAAATAGGAAAATTGAAGAAAATAAAATTAGTAATGATCAATAAACTTAGGTGAGATAGATACCTAGATAGATAATAAAGATATTTATATCATAGTCATTGTGTATGATTCACCAGTAATAAAGATACCTGAAATAGGGTGATATATTGAAAGAAAACAGGCAGTCATTTACAACAAAAGTTTCTAAAGTATCTAAAGAGAATGTACTGATATGGTATGCAGAAGAGGGAAAGGTGAAATATCCTGAAAATATGAGGATAGGAAGCAGTGGGGAAATTAGAATGGCAGGTAGATAGAAAGGGATTTTTTTAAAATACTTGCAAAGTGTTTCATTATGAGCATTGGACATGGTTGTGACCAGAAAAAGACAGCTAAGTATAAGAAAACTTCCAAATGGACAAGAAATAAAAGGAATGACCAGCAGCTTGATAAATTTACCCAGAGTTTCCTAAAGGGGGAAATAAAACAAAAGTGAGAAACAGGAAAATTAAATGATAAACATTTTAAAGTGAATAATAAAATCATTTTATTATAGTACATTGATCAGTACATCAAATATAGACTGAATTTTCCCATTAAAAGCCAAATGTATTTATATTGTCACAAAAAAGCACAGCATAGCTATATGTCACATGCAAGTAGCATTTACAAGTAAGATACATATAAAAGGGAATTGAGATCAGCTCTTGAACAAATAGAAAATTAATTAATCAAATAAAGACCAGAACGCATAATGCTAATAATAGGGAAGACAAAATATAGAATGCAAAGGGAAATTACATATTCTATGCAGAGAGAACAGGGAAGTCTGAAAGAGAAGGAATATTTCTATAACATGTGAGTAGTTCATGGTTGCCAGCCACTGGGGGTAGGTATACGTGATGACGTATGAGTCAGATAACTCCTGTGTCAACTTCCCCTGACCTTCCTTAAGTTCATGGGACTCAGCCAAGTATATTAAAACCTATAAGGTCAGATTCATACTGCCAAGATGGTAGCCTACAGGCCCAAATTATGTCTTATAAGTACACACAGAGTATCAAAAGGTGAACCTTAGAAAAAGACAATTCTGAGTGTTTTACTGTGTTACATTTTAATTTTTTTCAAGCTTATATATTCAAACTGTTCATTTCTGACATTGCACATTAACATGAATAAAGTATTAACTAATTTACATTCTAATGTACTTTTGGCCGAAGAGACTATATGCAAACTATAGAATATGGGAGAGTATCAAATAATTCCAAATACTTCCAGTAATGTTAACTCATCCATGTTAAACTTACCATGGATTTTATATCTCTCATTTAAGAAGTACTTAATATCTATAATGATAAGTTATTATGAATGGTGGTAGAAACTTAGGAAACATTTTATTTAAGTTTTTCAACAAGTAAAATACATACATCACAGTTATATCCACAAAGCTTCCCATTTTTAAGATTAGAAAGTGATATTTTGAAGTATGGAACAGAATTATAAAATTAAGAGTAATCACATGTAAAGTTTTCGTTCTTAGTAGGAAAAATATCCAACTTTTTAAATTTCTTAAACAAAAAAAGTCTAAAAATTAATAAACTGTCCCTTACTAGTCATTACTCTCCAAATTCAAATGTAATTATTATTACAGCAGTGTTTATTTCCCTCAGCACTTCCTGCTTCTCAGATACTGAACAGATTTTAAATTATTATAATTAATTTAGGCTGCATTGATGAAATTAGGATAAAATTTATTAGTTTGTCTGTGGTTGAATAGCAGAGCTTATTTCTCTGGCATTTCTACCAGCTCAGTTCCTCCTGGGTTGCTGTAGCTGGAAGCGGTAGCTATTTCTTCCGAGTTCTCCTCTCTTCTCCCCTCCTCTCCCTTCCTCCACACCTCCCCTGACCTTCTGGGTCCCCCTACATTAAAAGCACCCTGCAGAACAGATTTGGCTTCAGGAAAATAATCGACTCAAATCTTTCTCCTCCTCTTTTCCACCATTCACACGGCACAAAGCACCATAAGAAACTTCTTTTTTCTCCATGTATAAATAAAGTTTAATGGTGACAAATTTGTATAAGTTGATTTCAAAATGATAAAATGTAGACTCTGTGAAAAAAAGATTTTCTTTATGTTAGTAAGAGTTTATGACATGACATGTTTGATTTTTTCTTATAAAAAGTCACATACAAGTATGGACGTGAAAACATAAATAAAAAGATAATAGTGAAACTGTAACTAAAACCACTACACAAAGATAACCACTACTAATATTTTAGCATGCATAACTAATTGCTTATGTATTTGTGAATATAGAGGGAAGAAAATAGATCTTCAAACTTTTTAAAACATAAAGTACTGCCTTTATAATAAACATTTTCATTATCACGTAGTACAAGAGCTTAATGATTTATAACCTACTGAACAATCGTCTTTTAACTCTGCAAGTTGTCTTGAAAAACCTCTCATCACAAACACAGCTCAAGTCGGTGTTTTCGTGCACAAACCATTGCAAACATTGCAATCAGTTCCTTGGGATAGACCCTAAAGGCAGAGTTGAGAGTCAGTACCAAGTTAATGGTGTCCTACAGGCCTTCCGGAGGAAGGTGACAGTCCCAAGAGTGGAGATTTACCTGCTCCGTGAAGTTGGGAGGGAAGGGAGGTTGGCTGTTTGTAAACAGGAAATGCCGTTCAAGGGGCTCACACTGAAAAGCGGTCTCAGAAACCCTAGGCACTCTGCACTCTTGATTTTACCTCCTGGGGAGGGAACTTCCCTGTTGTCTATTTTGCTCTTGCTCTACTTATATTTTTGTTTGATTTTCATTCCAAGTTTTTGGTGAGTCAAAAGAAGAAACAATGTAAATAAAAGGTAGCACTTGCTCTACTTTGCTTTTAAAAAACTATTTAAACAAATACATGAAAGAGCTACATTCAAATCAATAAGTTGCTACCTTATTCCCTAACTCGGAAGAAACCATACACACACACACACAGCTTGCTAAATCTTTGTGCAAACCACTCATCATTCTAATATGATTGAGCTCTATTTTTGATCTAACAACCTTAGAAGCTGTTTCTTGACTTCTGTCTAGTCATCCATCCCTTCTTAAATTATAATACTATTCTAATTTTCTCTATGGATCTATGCAATCACAAACGATAGACCTGAGTCTTTATTCCTTGTCTCATTAATCTGAGAGAGAATGTTTTGACACCATTTTTATAAAAGGTAGGAATTCATTTCCACCATTCTTTCCTTCTTTTGCTATTCAGTCTCTATCCACTATTCTTTCATATTTACATGGTCAAAGTTAGAAATGTTTTGTATTTTTAATTGTAAGTTTCCTTATAGTGTCAATAGCTTCACTTTAAAATGGATGTTGGTATAATGAGGATACATTGTATAGATGATCAAGCATTTATCCACTGTTTGCAGTAATCTAGTGCTTTGGGGTTTTTTTGTTTTTAGGGAGGGGGTTTGTTCCCCCTGAAGTTTTTCCACTATGGTAAGGAGAAGAAGGCATAGTTCACTTATAAAAGATGCAGAAATGACCATTTAGAAATTCCCATTGAGAAAGAAAATGAAATGTAAATTCCTTCTTGCTTATTGGGAAGAGAGAATGCGAAGTACACAGGTAAGCCACCCCTCCCCTCCTCCACAGCCTCGCCTGCATTTCCCAGTGCCCAATCCCCAGGTTCAGAAGTGTGCAAAAGCAGGCAGGTGCGTAGAAAACTTGTTTCACACCTGATATGTGCATTGATGGCCTGTTACATTTTCTTTCTTTTATATACTCCATGAATATTTCCCTCATTTCCAATTGTGGATAATTCTATGCCCCTTAGAGAAGTCCTGGACTCAAACTGGTACTGCTGATGCCAGTTAAAAACCTGGCAATGTATTTAAACTAGGATTCTGGAGAGGCCAACAGAGTTGCACGCTCACGTGGCTTGGAGTCTCAGGAAGACATTATTTTTATTCAGTAAATGTTTACTGTAATCACACACAATGGATGCTAAGTTATAAAGGCAGAGGAACAAAAAGCATATCAGGTAGCTGAATACAAAGAAAGCATTACTGTGTTTAACAAGTTAAATTGAAATTTTTACATTGTTTTCTTCTCTAAAAAGAAAACATACTTTCAAAGTTCTTATTGACTGCTAATGTCTAAAAGAAATCAGTTTTAGAAAATATATTATATCCTAGTGAATACCAAAAAGTCCACAGTTTTATAGGCAACAATTTTATTGCAACATACTAAAATTAGCAGTTGTTATGGAACTTTGCTATGGGTTGCAGTAATTTCCACATGCCCCTCAGGGTTCAGGGTTTGAAGCTTGGTTCTCAGTGTAACAATTTTGCGGCAGACCCCTGACAGGTCAGCTGGTGAGCACCCACAGGGTATCGCCTTTGGAAAGGACTGGGGTAGTTCTCACTGGGTGCTGAGTTCTTTCATATGAGAGGATTGCTGCAAATGCAGGTCTGCCCTCCCTTCACCCTGGCTGCAGGTCTAGCCCTTCGCTTCTCCCATCGTACAAACCACCAGGAGGCCTTCTTCATCAGAGCCTAGCAGACGCCAGTGTGAAGCCCTTCAACCTCTAGAACTGTCAGCCACATAAACCTCTTTTAATAAAGTACCCAACCTTGGGTATTTCACCATAGTAAGAGAAAATGGACTAAAAGTGTTTGATAAGCACTTAAGCCATACTCTTTCTGAGGGCGAATACTGCTTAGAGTAATCCACTAAAGCCATAACAGTCACTTGTTTCTCTATCTACTTTTGGACCAATTGAAATGTCAAAATCTTCATGAGTGGAAATAAAGCATCTAAGTCCTGATGTATTTTTATTTTTCTCCTATTTTTACAGCCTTTGGTTTATTACACATTTGTACTTTGATAAATTATGAAATCGCTCCTGTCTCATGCACCATGTCCTTTTAAGTGGCACAAACTGTCTCGTTTGTCCACTTCTTCCCAAATTAGACGCTGCCTGGTGTAACTTCTCCCTTTTCAGTTGAACTTATCCGGTAATCATGTGTCTATAAACACATATTAATTTTTAATGTGTTTCTTAAATAAAACATAGGTATGAATTTTGTTTTGAAAACCAGTATCTTTTACTTTTTGGAGGTAAATTTACATTAGAGGTTTAACCACTGAACAGTCTACCTCAGCATCACTTGGGCAGGAGTCATTTCAAACAGTTGATTTGGGTATTGAAGAAATTTGATAAAACTGTTGTTTTTGTATTTCCTGTTATGTTATTCTATAACAATTAATGAAAACATGACATTTTTGCTCATCCTATATTTAAATAATTAGATGGGTAAGTGGTTTATATGACGGATGTGTCTAGATTAAATTCTATGATACTGTTCATGATTTTTAATTTGTAGTTTGCGTTTTCTTCACTTTAGTTTGGTATGCCTTATATTACTTTATAGTATTCACTGTTTACTGCTTAATTTTTTTCTTTTTATTTTATGAAAAAATTAAAACATTTTCTTGATCAAATAATGAGAATAGCAAGTTATTACACTGTATTTTTATCATCAAATTAGTTACTCAGTACAAGACATAAACCAAAATGATTTTTACAATAAAGAAACAAACAGATAATAACACAAACTTTCTTTTCAATGAACAAAGATAAACTTTTAGTATATGAAACAAATTAGGATGTACAGAAATATTTTTAAGATAATGGAATATATAATTTGGGGTTGTTTGGAACTTCTCTCTACTGTCTATTTATCTCTTTATGTATATATATTTAGTGTTTTTCATATAAGAGCATGTGTCTGAAATATTTCACTTATATATTCTAGTGCTTAATCATGCAAATATTTTATAATGCATAAAACTTTAATTATTGATAGTATCTGTGAATCTTCACTGCAAGTAATGATGGAATTTAAATATTTCTATTTTTCATTTCTCATAATTTTAATATTAATTATATTTTATCTCTTTTTAAAGTATTCTTATATTTCCATACAGTATTTTATTTAAAATAATATCTTTAAAACCTCAGGTATTAAAGCTCAAATCAACATACTTACATTCCTTCCATCCCTCCTCTTTCTATATATTATTAAATATCTGTATAAAAATATGTACATGTACATAATATATACATTATATTATATGCATATATAATATATACATTATATGCATACCTATATACATAATAAATGTGTGTATATATACACATTATATTATATACGTATGTACATGTATATAATATGCATTCTATTCCGTAACCAAATTCATCATATTTATTTTGGTTTTAGTAATTAAATGGGTTCACTGGCCACAGTATTTGCTTTGCTTTGTTTTATTATTTCCTATTTAGCTAAATTTTATCCTCTCAGTTTCATCCAGAAAATTAAAATGTTACTCAACATGTACTTAAACACTTACATTTTAAAGACAAAAATCAAATTCTATAATGCTTTACACTAAAATAAATTTCAGATATATTAAAGAAGTAAATATAAGAACAAAACTTCAAAATCTTAAGTGAAAATATAATATACATTATATTTTATAGATTTCATAAACTATATGAACTGTCCTGGTAAATCTTGATGGACATTATTACATAAAATTAAATAAATTTTCTGTATCAGAAGCCCATTAACCATTATTAAAACAGATAAAACTGAAATTAAAATAGTTACCAAAAATAGAGGTCTGTATTTATATCCAGAACCTCACAAATAGTAAATTCTTATGTAAAATATTGTCGTGAACTTCATTTAAAAGACAATATTCATTCAAAATCTTAAAGTAGGATTTTAATAGGTGGAGAAATATAGCTGAGTCATTTCAGGTAGAAAGAATAACAGTTTGATCAAAAGTATAGAGCTATTAATTATAAGAAAATACAGCTGAAATATTATGGAAAAAGATAGAAGAGCACTCTTAAGAATGAGAAAACTTAGAAATAAATATAAACATATTAACTAGCTGACTAAGGAATCATGAGAATGGTGGACCTGGTGGTTTTGACATCCAAAATCACCTCATTCTCCAGATTTTCCCCTGTTCAGCTTTGAACTTTCCTTGTAAAGCTTTCTGATTCTAAAAGCCAGTCTGCCTATTTCTTGCAGGCCTCCTAAGAAAACGTTATAACCTGTAATTGTATCTTTGCTTACTACACTTTTAAACTGAAATTAAAAAAAAAACAAAAAAAAAACCCAACATGTTAGGAGATTCTCCCTGCAGTCTTCTCTGTTGTATAAAACTGGAGTGAACCATTTTCCAAATAATTATCTTAAAGCAAAAATTACAATGTTTTCATCCATTCCATTAAGAAAAGAATGAATAAAATTTAAAAATCCTCTGCCCCAATCATGAAGACATGGGCAGTTTTCATCCAAAGGAAAGAGAAGCAGCAGAGGAGATGAGATTGCACGGTTACATCACACACACACTGATTGTTCGGAAGTGCCCAAGGTCAACAGAGCTCACTGGCCTGCAGCAGCTGAAGATGGAGTGGTTTAATTTGTGGAAAACCATTACACTGTCCTCAGTGCAGAGGCAGACTCCCACTGACAGTGGAAATTTCTGCAGGCCACAGCCTTGGCCACCGCTCAGAATACAGGCTGTCAGCTATCAGTGTGTATAACTCCAGGCCACCCATCTGTCTTCCTAACCAGGCAAGTGCCACACTATGAAGAGATGTCTTAGAAATAAATATGGATGGTGCATTGTTTCCGTAAGCAGAAGTTATCATCAAATATCTAACTTAAACTTTACACTATGTACATCTGATGATGCCAGACTCTTCCAAGAGCTAGAGCATTTTCTCCACTTTGGTTTTTCATGTTTGATAAAGACTTTTATCCCAAAATCACAAAGTATTTAAAAACATATCTTATTCTGGGAAGCAATCACTTTCGCTTTCTCAGAATGAATTCAACATTCCAGTTAAGGAATGTTTAATTATAGCACCAGTAACCACTTTTGAATAGAAGTTTGATATCTGCCGGCTTTTTTTAATGACAAGAAAGAGTTTTTGAAGATGTATTTTTTTCCAGAGGACTCCTGTAATTCTTCAAGTTTGAGTCTTCAATTAGGAAAAAGACATTTACATGGGCTTGAGGAACAAAAGCACTTCAATTGGCTCCAATTTTACCATGCCAGATAATGACGTAAACTGCAATGCATCAGATGAAAATGAGTTTCTAGAGATTTCACCAAAACCTCATGAGCTTAAATCAAATCTTCCTGTTTCTCACCCACATCTGAACATTCTATTGCATGTGGAGAAAATTACTTAATTGCAAAGGTATATGAATTTAGGGCTTTCGATCCTTATAATCCAGACACACCCCACACAGATTTTGACACTCCTGCCTGGATCCCAAAGATAAGCTGCATGGAACACACAGCTCTCACAGAAACAAGCTCCAGTTAGCAATTTCATGATTGATGCATCTGGTTTATGAAAACAGATTAACCCAGCTCTGCCTAGGAGTTTGGCTTTTTTTTCCCCCTGGGGAACTAAAAGCTCCCAGAAATGGAAGTTCCTTGTGAAAAGAAAAGTGCTAATCTTTATTGCAACATTGTAAAACATTTTTAAATATTTTAATCTTTAAAATGCCAAACTTTAAGTAATTTTGCAATATAGAATTACTATTTACTTATTTACCACCCAGGTAATAAACATTTTAATTATATTAGCTTCCAAACAAACAAGAAAAAAATCAAGCACACAAAAATGTTAAAAAATTTTGCTATCATTAAATCATACAGTTAGACATTTTCGGTTTCAAATTTTAAATCTTAGTCATTTTGATGAGTCAGGTGAAAAGGACTAACCTTCAGATATTTTTACTTTCCTCAGAATGTAGGTTTTTATTCTCCATATACTTCAACATGAGAAATAAAAAGAGAACTAAATATACTTTTAAAACTTTCATTGTTGATAGAAAAATAACTTGAAAAAGTTACTTTTTAAAAAATCAGGTAAAGGTTTTACAAAGCCCAAGCTTTTATAATGAAAACAGTAGTGTGTAATAATAAAAGCCCCTCTTAGCTGGTCAATCCATAGAAATTAGACATATGGTTTCCAAAGACAAGTTCAAAGACTACCAGTAGGTTTTTTGTTATTGTTTTTTGTTGTTTTTTTAAATTTTGACTGCCAGTAGGTTTTGTTTTGTATTAAATTCTTTTATTGGTACATTGTAGGTATACAACACAATTACATTTCTCAGTGGGAATTGTACCTTTACATAATGCATCTTGGTTCTTATTTTTTCCCCATTCCTAGCCCTCCCTTCACCCCCTCCACCCTTCCCTATTTACAAAGACTTTATTTCCATTTTTTCCATTTCTCATCATTTTTCCTTTCCCTTCTTTCCTTTCCCCTGCCCCTCCCACTACCCCTACCCCTTTGGGCCTTTTCTTCCTATTTACACTATCGATTATTCATTCTAATCATTGGTACATTTTAGGTATACAATATAATGATATTCATCATTGGAAATTTGCACCTTTACATAGTCTCTCTTGGTTCTTATTTTTCACCCTTGCCCAGCCCTCCCTTCAACCCCTCCAGTCCTCCCTATTTACAAAGATTTTGTTCCTATTTTTCCATTTTCTCATATTAATCCCATTCCCTTCTTTCCTTTCCCCTAGCCCTCCCACTTCCTTCCCCTTTGCCCCTTTTCTTCCTATTTCACATTACAGGATGTGGGCACAGAGCAGGCAGCAGTGGGCCCACTGGCCCTGTATCCTAACCTGGGAGGGTCTATACTTGCCTAGGAAAATTCAGTGACCAGGCAGGAGCAACTTTAGAAAGCAGATAGAAAAACACCAAGACAGTTTGAGAAATGATAGAAGAAAGGAAAAAAAAAAATACTTCCTTGATGTGTGAACAAGGCCTGATGTATTTATTTTACACTGAGGGCTCTGTCATGGAGACGAACTTGCTTAACATTCAGGAACCCTCAAGTATGTGCCTACTAATGCCAGCTACATGATTTGTGGGGCTCAGTGTAAAATAAATA